AACTGCCTCAAAACATGATACATTTTACTGGAAAAAAAAAAAAAAAAAACATTTAGAAGGACTGCCTGAACCTCAGTCAGCCAAGTCAGCTTCAGTGAGTAACAGCCCACACGCTGCATCCAAATGTTGCCTCTGTCCTTAACACCAAGGCTTCTTTCTTCTTTTGTCATGCACTCTTTAAGCAAGAATTGCATAACTAAGAAAGAAGAGGGTATGCCACATTCAGAGTGGGTCCGTGGGTCCCTCTGACTGAGGTGGCTGTGCTCAGAGGTCCAATATTCGCTTGTATGGGCATGCTACAGCATCTATAAAAACAAGGAGTCTTTTCCTCCAGATAAACTTCCAGGTGTGCTTGGATGCAGAAGGAAGAGAACACCTTTCAGTTTAGGCTGTGATACACAAGGCTTTACCATTGAGTCCTTAGGGCTACAAAGCTCCAGTTTAGTTTGAAGGACTTAGAGCAGATTGGGATATTTTATGGAATCTGTGGAAAGCTCAACAGAGTAGTAGACAGTCACCTGGGTACCCTTCAGGAATAACCTTCCTGTAACACCACTGTTGCTTTTCTTCCTAAAATTCCCAAAAGGACTGCAACCAAGATGAGTGCATTCTGAAGGAAGGGAAATAACTAACATTGCTGAAGGAACTCTTGGGGATATAGACTTCTGTCACAGTCATTCTGGAGAATTATGGGGGGATTCTTGTCCAAGGCCAGCTCATAGAGTAGGCTCTGCAGGATCACAAGTTTCATGCAAGGGTCATGCTTTTTCCTTTGCAAAAAGGGTCTTGATTTGAGAGTAGCCTAATTGGAGATTCAGTACCAGAGCACAGAATCTGAGCTAGCTGCTACAGTCCACGTAGCTAGAAAGCTGTATGGACCCAGCATGTCCCGTTATTAGGTGGAAAAGATCCAACTGGGTAGAGGCAACTACACACTCTGAGGATGCCAGTGCCCACCACCACACACTGCTGTCACTCCCTTCACCACTAACCTCCTAAAGGTCCCCATAACCTGGAGGTTTTCTTCTGGTCCAGTGATGTATGGATTGTAACAAGATTCTATTTAGCTTATGTTGTAATTAAGAAGGGTCCTATTTACTTCTTAGTCTTGGGGAGTACAAGGAGTCGTAAGTTATTCTTCATATGCCTCCAATCACTGGACACACAGGAACTTCACTAGGGTGGCAGTGCCCAGTGTGGTCTTGTGATTTGATTCAGCCTAGCACAAGTATGTGTTACCAAGGCAAGTAGAAATAGCTACAAATGGTCCCCAAAGATGGTTCGACTTCACAATTAGATTATCAGGGTATTAAATGCATTTCAGTTTACCATGGGCCCATCAGGATATAACCCCAGCATGAATTTCAGAAGCATCTGTAGTTTGTGTTTGTTGTCTGCTAGGCTTTAGTCAGGAAACACCTATGCAACATGGTTTAACAGAGGGACTTTAACACGGCAAAGTAGTAGCTAAGGTGTTGGGAAGGGTGACAGAGAGCAGGGAAGCATCTCAGGTTATTAACAGGAGAAAATAGTTCCCAACCCTAGAGCTTGAGGGTGAAAGGGGAAGGTGATTTGACCATAGCATAGGAACCAGGGCCACCTGAAGAAGCCGGACTGATGTACAGGATCTTTCCTAGCAGTAACAGGGACTATAGGCAGGGGTGTGAAGAGGGAGGTGGAACAGAAAAGGTGTGGTCATCGCCAGCAGCACCATCCAAAGTAAAGAGTAGAAGAGAAATACACTGGCTTCTTCCCAGCCCTCATCCTCCAATCTTCTGCTAGTGCCTCCTGCTGAGTGACCCTTACAGGAATCTGGTGGGCAGTAGACTCTGGAAAGTGTAATCTGCAGAGGTTAAATACCTGTGACTTGGCATTCAGCAGGCAAAGAATGGATCTTACAGCAAACAGGCAAATGACTGGCACATGATCCTGCAGAGCCTAGTGTATAAGGGGACTTGGGCAAGTATCACCCCATAATTCTCCAGAATGACTGGGACAGAAGTCTACATTTTCTAAAGTTCTTTCAGAAATATTAGTGGTTTCCCTAAGAACACACTTATCTTGGTTACAGTTTTTTTGGGGATCCTAGGAGGAAAAGAAACACTGCTGTTACACGAAAGTTATTCCTCAGGAATACCCAGGTGACTGTCCACACATCCAGGTCTCGGGAACGGGGTGAAAGGCAAATTTTAGCATGGGGATAACTGGCCTAAGGTCTCCCTGAGCAGACTTTAGGTGCTTTAAAATAAGTAACAAAGGAAAATTTGAGCAGTTGACTACTGATTTCATTTCCAGAGACTTACTAGTAATCACAGCCAGACATCTCTTCCTGATAAACTATCAGTGGTATGCTGACAAAGGCTTAACATCCAGCTCTGCAAGGGAAAGATGAGTGCATGACTTCCATGAATGTATTATAAATTTTACAAAGATGTATATAGTACATATGTGAATATATTAACACACACACCACATTTCTCAACTAGTTAACAAAATTCCTGAAAATGTATTCAGCTCTTGCAAGCCAGTATAAGCCTGCCCAAGAACACCACTGAATTGAAGACTTTGCTTCTGGTTAGCTGCAGCTTCCACAAGCTCCTCCACTTCCTATAATAAACCACTTTCCTCAAACAGTCCCTTTTTGAAATGTGCCCAGCACCCTATGGATGACAAATAAAGCACCTCCTAGAAGTAAAATGCTGTTCTCATATCACAGGTTCAGGAAAAGCTTTTCAGCTGTTTTTGGTCCAGGTTTTTCCCAGCAGGCTTAAATCCAAACAGAGGCCTTAAAACATCCTCAGACAGGCCAGGCGTGGTGGCTCAGGCCTGTAATCCCAGCACTTTGGGAGGCCGAGGCAGGTGGATCACGAGGTCGAGAGATCGAGACCATCCTGGTCAACATGGTGAAACCCCGTCTCTACTAAAAATAGAAAACATTAGCTGGGCATGGTGGCGCGTGCCTGTAATCCCAGCTACTCAGGAGGCTGAGGTAGGAGAATTGCCTGAACCCAGGAGGTGGAGGTTACGGTGAGCGGAGATCACGCCATTGCACTCCAGCCTGGGTAACAAGAGCGAAACTCTGTCTCAAAAAATAAAAAATAAAAAAACAAAACAAACAAACAAACAAACAAAAAACATCCTCAGGCACTGATAAAGGTATCTAAGCAACTTCTAGCCTAGATGTATGAGCTGGGCTTGAGCAAGAATCACCACCCATAATTCCTCAGCATAACTGTTATATAAATCTACCTTCCTTAGAGCTCTCCCAGAAATTTTGGTTATATCCCTGTCTTCAGGATGTGCATACCTTAGTTACAGTTCTTTTGGAGCTGCTCTGCCAGCTCAGCAGAACGAAACGTGTTTACAATCTGGCCGGAGCACGAACTGGGTCAGGTCTAGGGAGCAGAGCAGCAGAAACTCATACACCATCTTTAAGTCTTGACCAAAAGATAACTCATATTCAACTTCCCCCATGTCTCAAGGAGTATCTAATTTGATTTAAATGAACTATGTACAACCAGCAACAACAAATAAGCTCATGGAATAACATGACAGCAGCTCACCCTACCTCCCATAAGAAAAATAAAACAACAGGGAAGGAGTTCCTGTATTTGTGTGTGCATGGTTTCTATTTGTATTGTAAATAAAAACAAATAACTGATACTATAAACACATTTTTAAGCTTTATAAAATTTATGTACTTAATGATGTCACTGTGTTGGTTATAAAATTATATTTCAATTCATAAACTGCAGGACATCTTTGAGTACATAGAGATCCATCTCATTTTCCTAACTACATACTGATCTACTGAATTGATTTTCTGTAACCCATAACTTTACTAGTTCTAAATATTTTGTTTTTCCAAATTTCTATCAATTCTATAACACATGTGCTTATGCATCCATCGTTCTGCACTTGTGCTTTCTGAGAACATAAATTATTAGGTGTAGAATTGTGGCAAAGGGTACTTATATTCAAAATGCTGACAGGTAACACCACATTGCCCTCTAAAATGGCTTTCCTCTAATTTACCCTCTCAATATATGAAAATATGGTTTCTCACATCTGCAACAGTACTGGATATTATCCAAACTTTACATTCACACAGAATTTCTGCTGGTTTGTGTTGGTGGTGATGAGGACTTTTACAATCTGCATTTATCTGATTATTAGTGAGGTTGAGAACTTCCTCTAACTATTTTAATTTCTTCATCCAAGGATTTTTTGTTGACACGCTACACAAGACTGTGTACCTTATCCTTGCTGCTTTCCAACAGCCCTTTTGCAAGGGCTATATCCTTTTAAATGTATGTTTAGGATATCTCTCAGCCTGTCATATGGCTTTTAACTTCGCATACAGTATCTTATATCATGAAAAAGGTTTAAATCTTCTACATAGTCCCGTCATTCTCTCTTCATGGCTTCTGGACCGTGTCCTGCTTACCAAAGACTTCCGGGACCTAAAGGCACAGAAATACTCTACATCCTCCTCTACCATCTTAACAGTATTTCCTCTCATGTCTGTAATCAGTACAGAATAAACTTCTCTATAAGGAGTGAAATGTGATGCTGACTTTATCTCCAGTTGGATAACTGTCAAAGACATTTAATCTCCCCCAATAATACACCAAAAACACTTTTGCAATATAAAAAACTCATGGGATACGACCTTCTTTGTGATACCTAATATAACACTCAACATGAATTTCAGAATTGTCAGTGTAAAAGTAATCTACAAGATTACAATACTGAAACACCCATCTAGGATCATGTTATGGATCTCCATTTATTCAGAGCCTCTGTTCTCCATCAGCAGAGGCTAACAATTTCCTTTTGTATAAAACTAAGTAAATTCACCTATAATTTCATTTATTCCCCTTGGTTTGATATCACAGTTGACTTAACCTCATCAAAGAAGTGGGAGATTTTAAGAGAGAGAGAGAGAGAGAGAGAGAGAGAGAGAGAGAGAGAGAGAGTGTATGTTTTAATAAACTCCAGAACAACTTTACTAATGGATCCTTGGAACACTAGAATAAATCTGTGAACCCACATGTTGAAATGGGACTATATTAATTTCTCTTTCTTCATTTAAACATTAGTGACTTTTTTTAACTTGACTAAATATAGTCTTGCATATATTCTCCCCAGAAATTCTAATTCTTTTGTTCATTTTATCCAGAGCTATATAGCCACTTCTTAAAACATGTTCTATGTATCAGGTCATAATTAGTTTCCTCACCAACAATGGAACACAGCCTTAATCATGAGAGTGTCACTGTGATGTTTTATTATAATACTAAATGTTAAGCACACTACATGTGCTCATCACTGTCTACCTTAGGATACTATTTTAAGTCAGGCTGGTTGCCTGTAATCCCAGCTACTTGGGAATGAGGTGGGAGGATCACTTGAGCACAAGAGTTTGAGACCAGCCTGGGTAACACAGGAAGACCCTATCTAAAAACTTTTTTTTAGTTTTAAAAAAAAGATACTGTTTTGGTTCCAACATTTTTACAATTGCCCTACTGCTTTCAAGAGTACACTGCTTAAAAATAATTTACATCAACTCTGAAGAATACTTACCTAACATTTACCAAGCATTTAGTATTAGTTGATAATTTTGCTAAGAAATTTATTATGCATCAAATATTTTAACTAGAGTTTTAAGAGACTAATTTAATTTGCATTTTTGAAAGATCACTGTGGCTATAATATTAATGCAAAAGGGATAAAAGAGGATACAAAAGTTTTAGAATTCATCGGTGTCCAAACTCTTGAATTCAATGACTTCTTTGTTATCTGTGTTGGTGTATCACTAAAATTACACACAGACTTTTTTTTTCTTAGCTCATTAAATATTGTTAATGTTAGTGTATTATATGTGTGGCACAAGACAATTTTTCTTCTTCCAGTGTGGCCCAGGGAAGACAAAAGGTTGTATGATGATTGAAACAGTCCAGATGAAATGACTGTGTTTCAGACTAGGGAACCAAAAGAGTGGATGAATTCCAAAAATATTTAGCAGGTATGTCGACAGGATCCAGTGATGTTGCAGGTGAGGAACAGCTGGATGCCTGAAAGGAACTCACTGATGAGGAAGGTATGCATTTTGTCTGAAGACGTTTGCACATTCTTAACATTTTAAAGACCTCTGTGTAGTATGAATTCTTCCATGTAAAGTGTTCAATCTGGCTGAGGGTTTTTCTTTATTTCTTACATTTATGTTTTTTAACCAATGGGATTTCTCTGATCAACAGTAAGGAATTGATGATAACTAAAGGCTTGGCCACATGCACTACATTCTTAAGGTTCTTTTCCAGTATGACCTCTTTGGTGATATATTAAGGACAACTTTCTTCTGAATGCCTTCCCACATTCAAAACACTGATAGGGCCTTTGGCCAGTGTGAAGTCTTTGATGTTGAGCACAGGATGAGCTATCACTAAAAGCCTTTCCACATTCAGTACATTTATAGGGTTTCTCTCCTGTATGAATTCTTTGATGTTGAGTAAGATTGGAAGTTTGGCTGAAGGCTTTCCCGCATTCATTACACTCATAAGGTTTCTCTCCTGTATGAGTCTTCTGATGTTGGGCAAGGTGTGATCTCTGTTTGAAAGCATTTCCACATTCAATACATTCATAAGGCTTCTCTCCAGTATGAATTCTCTGATGAGTAGCCAGCTGTGAACTGATTCTAAAAGCTTTTCCACATTCTTTACATTCATAGGGTTTTTCACCAGTATGAATTCTCAAATGACTAACAAGGTGTACATTCTGCCTAAAGGCTTTCCCACATTCCTTGCATTCATAAGGTTTCTCTCCAGAATGTACTCTTTGATGCTGAGTGAGTGATGCATGATGACTAAAGTCTTTCCCACAAGTATCACATTCATAAGGTTTCTCTCCTGTGTGAATTCTCTGATGTACAGTACGGGATGAACCAGAGCTGAAGGTTTTTCCACACACATCACATTTGTAAGGTTTCTCTCCTGTATGAATTCTCCTATGTAGAATAAGTCCTATGTGAACACTGAAGGCTTTCCCACAATCGATGCAATTAAAAGGCTTCTCTCCAGTATGATAACTCCTCCAGTGACGAATAAAAGATGTGTTATACCTAAAAGCCTTCCCGCACTCAATACATTCATAGGGTCTTTTGCCAGTGTGACATCTCTGATGTCGAGCAAAAGATGAGCCATCACTGAAGGCTTTGCCGCATTCTTTACATTCATAAGGTTTCTCTCCAGTATGAATTCTCTGATGCTGAGCAAGGTGTGCAGGCTGTCTGAAAGCTTTTCTACATTCCTTACATTTATATGGTTTTTCTCCAGTATGGATTCTTTGATGTTGAATAAGGTGTTCGCTCTGTTTGAAGGCCTTCCTACATTCTTTGCATTCAAAGAGTTTCTCTCCAGTATGTGTTCTGTGATGTTGAGCAAGGTGTTGCCTCTGCTTGAAGGCTTTCCCACATTCTTCACATTCATATGGTTTTTCACCAGTATGAATTCTATAATGAACAGTAAGGGATGAGCTATGGGTGAAGGTTTTGTCACATTCATTACATTTAAAAAGCTTCTTTCCTGCACAGACTTTCTTGCGTTTTATTACCATAGAATTTTTGGAGAAGCATTTTTTATCTGATGTGTGATTATAAATACTCTCTTCCATGTTCTCCAGATGGATACATTTCCCAAATTTAGTATATTTGAATTCTGTTTCCTTAGTGAGGGTTTCTTTATGAGTGATTGTTTCTTGCTGGCTAAACATCTCTGGACTTCCCATCTGCTTCTCAAAAAGGTCTTCCCATTTCCAATTTTCTTCAAAAGTGGAACACTCAAGTCCATAGCTTGTAATTCCCTCCATGCATGCATCATCATAAATGAACTGCTTCAGAGGCAATTCCTGTGTCTCATATATAGATTCCCAATCTGAAAGATGTATATTAAAAAGTGAATGTTCCCTTTATCATGGGCCACAACATCATAAATGAACTGCTTCAGAGGTAATTCCTGTGTCTCATATATAGATTCCCAGTCTGAAAGATGTATATTAAAAAGTGAATGTTCCCTTTATCATGGGCTACAACAAAGGAGACATTGTGAAAAAGGTAATTTAAAAATATTTAATAAATCTCACAAAACCTGTGATGTACAGACATGTCAACTAGAAAGTAACCAGGGAGACTCTAAGAAATACAGAACACGGAAAAGGTGATTAAGAAAACTAAATGGGCCAGGTGTAGTGGTTCATGCCTATAATCCAGCATTTTGGGAGGCCAAGATGAATAGATTGCTTGGGCCCAGGAGTTCAAGACCAGCCTGGGCAGCATGGCAAAAACCCATCTCTGCAAAAAATACAAAAATTAGTCAAGTATGGTGGTGCATGCCTGTAGTCCCAGCTACTCAGGCAGCTGAGGTCAAAGGATCACTTGAGCCCAGGAGGTTGAGAGTGCAGTGAGCCATGATAGCCCTACTATACTACAGCCTGGGCAACAGAGCAAGACCCTGTCTCAAAAAAACAAAATTAAACAAAAAACTCAATGTAGGATGAAATCCTAGAGAAACAGTCTGCAATGGTAATATTTCATGCCTGTATTAACCTAACAGACTATAAATTAAGCTTTCTTCATCTACTCTCTTCCACTTGTAATTGGTTTTCATATATAATTATGTTAATTTTGTTGAAATACCAATATTGTATCACTACTGCTGCTCAAAAGTTTCTAGAGATCTCCAGTAACCACAAACCCTAAGGTCTGTGATTATCTTAGGATTTAGGTGAAATCCTACAGTTATCTTTTCATAATCAGAAAATGGTGTTCCCATGAAACCATCTACATGTTTCAATACACTGAATTCTTCAATTCTCAGATTCCCTGAACTTTAATCTGCATATTAAGAGATTTTTCTGTTCATCTTACTTTCAACAGCCTAGTATAATTATCACTTCTTAGACCATCTTTTTACTTTTTATTTTTTTAAAAAGAGTTTCATTCAGTTGTCCAGGCTAGAATGCACTGGCACGATCATAGTTCACTAACTCCTGGGCTTAAGCAATCTTCCCACCTTCTCTTGAGTAGCTAAGATTACAGGTGTAAGCCACTGTACCCAGTGCCTTAAGCTGCTTCTTAACAGGGTTTTATCATTTCCCCTTTTGAGGAAATGAATTTTATAATAACATATAGGTTGACATCACTACTTTTAGTCTCATTCATATTTACTACCACATAAGTAATAACTTTCTTATTTCCTGACCTAGAATATAAGTTCAGAGAAGGAATAAATGCAGTTTAAAAATTATGGCTACATCAGCCGGGTGCAGTGGCTCACGCCTGCAATCCCAGCACTTTGAGGGGCCAAAGCAAGTGGATCACCTGAGGTCAGGAGTTCAAGACCAGCCTGGCTAATGTGGTGAAACCCTGCCTCTACTGAAAAGACAAAATTAGCTGAGCCTGGTGGCACCTGCTTGTAATTCCAGCTACCTGGGAAGCTAAAGCAGGAGAATTGCTTGAACCCAGCAGGCAGAGGTTGTAGTGAGCCAAGACTGCACCATTGCACTCCAGCCTGGGTGACAAGAATAAAACTCCACAAAAAAATACTATTGCTACATCACTTACCATAGATAGGAGAAATCTGGGCATATATAAAAAGTCATCAGTAAAATGTAAAGAAATTTGTATTGAAGAGGTGATACTGCAAGAAAACCAGAGGGAAAGGTGGCTCATGCCTATAATCCCGGCACTTTGGGAGGTTGAGTAGGATGTGCCTTTGCTCCTCCTTCACTTTCTGCCATGACTGTGAGGCCTCCCTAGCCATGTGGAACTGTAAGTCAGTTAAACCTCTTTCCTTTATAAAGTACCCAGTCTCAGGTATGTTTTTATTAGTAGCGTGAGAACAGACTAATACACTTATAAACAACACTTATAACTAAATAGATTAATATACTTATAGAAAAATTAGCCAGGCATGGCTAATTTATTTCTCACAGATCTATAGACTGGGAAGTCTAAGACCAAGGCCCAGGCAGATGTGGCAGGGGCTGGCTCTCTCAGATGGTGCCTTCTTGCTGTTTCCTCACAAAGTGGAAGGGGCAAGGAAGCTCCTTCAAGGCCTTTTATAAAGATAATAATCCCATTCATGGTCCCTCATGACCTAATCACCTCCCAAGGTCCCCACCTACCATCATCATTCTAGAGAAGACGATTTCAACATGAATTTCAGGGGCACACGACCATTGAGACCAGGGCACCCATGCTTCAATAATTGAGGTAATGTAGCATTAATGAACTAATCACCTATAATTTTTCCTACACAGACAGACTGAAGAGAACAATACTAGACAAAGACACAGAAAGCTGAGTCCATCACCTACTGCTTTCTCACATTTTACTTTTTTGTCACATGAAGATTGTCTTCAACTCCAATTTCCTACAGAGAGCCACGATTGTTCCTAATTTTGTGGCCTTTTTTTTTTTAACAGACACTGAGATATCTTTACATACAATAATACTTATATCTACCCATTGACTCAGTATCCTACCAGACTTATAGCTTGTTCCTTTTCCCCTCTTCCACTTGCTCTCTACAGGGCCAATTATCAGGAAAGTTCCTTTCTATTTCTCTGTTTAAGGAAGATGCCATCTTCATATAACACTGAAGTATAAAGTGCATCTAAGCAGAGTCTATTTCCCTTCTGATGTGTGGGTATAGCCATTCCTTGTTATCCACAATGGATACAGTTCAAGACCCCAGTGGCTGCCAGAAACCTGGCATAACAGTGAACCCTATATTCACTACAAGCAACAGATCTGGAAAGCTAGATGAGATTAAGAGGCTAACAGGCAGGCACAGCATACAGCATGGATGTACTACGTAAAGAAATGACTCATGAGCTGGGCAGGACAGAACAGAAAGGTGCAAGACTTCACCATGAAACTCGGAATGGTGCACAACTTAAAACACATAAATTGTATATTTCTAGAATTTTCCATTTAACATTTTTGGAGAGCGGTGTACTGTGGGTAACAAATTGCAGAAGGCAAAGGTTTGACTAGGGGGACTCCTGTATTTGGAGGACACAAAAAGCTTAGAATCCAAATTATCCAAAATGTAAACCCCAAACACTATTACAGAAGGGAAAGAAGAATTTTATATAGGCATAAAATATTTTATCCAAAATGTCTTTTGAAACTTCCATTTCAGTGAGAGAGTCAGAATATAAACATCAAACAATAAACAAGTTAATTTTAGGCTTTCCTGAGTGTTAGGAAGAAAAGAAACAGTGATTTGGTGAATAGTTAAGTTACTGGGTTGGGATGGGTGAATGTTCATTACATAAGGTGGTTAGGGAAGGCCTCTGTTGAGATGCTTTTTTAGCTCTGACTTGATATTCAGGATAGACAGACTCAAGAGAGAAATATTCTGGGTAGAGGAAACAGGTAATGCAAATGCCTGTGCTAGTAAAAAGCTTGGTGAGTCCAGAAAAGTTGACTCTTGGGCTAGATGAACACTCATTCAAATTGACATTTGTAAAACACAGGTGGAGCAGGCAAAAGAATGATACTGCCTGTGACCCAGATGCAATCAGATTTAGAATTACCACCGGACCCATCTAGTCTCCCAAGGCTCTTGAGAAACTTAGTAGCTTGGTATACCTGCAACTCACTTGAAACATACTCTGGGTAATTCACATAATTTAGCAAACTCTGGACTAAAGTATGATGAAAAAGCTGAAAAGGAATAAAGAATGAGGTTATAAAAGAAGGAGCTGATCAGGGAGAGGTTAACAGGATTTAGATCTTTCCTATCTGATACAGGAGAGGAATGAAAGAGTCGCAGGGTACATTATAATTTGTAATCAGCCCCTAATTCAAGAATTAAGAAAGACTGAAGAAATACAGAAGGTTATATAAGTTTGTATGGCCAAGCAAAAGAGAGGATGGTAAGGAGCTGAATAAAGACTTTTGCAAAATAAAAATCTTAGAGATTTAAGGTTCTCTAATCTCTAGAGAATCTTAGTTATTGGAAAGAAGACAGTCAAGTAGAAGAGAAGATATCTGAGGGGCCCATGTTAAGCATTAAAGTTTCAGTTTTCTTCCCAGGCCTGTAAGGCTTATGAAGAGTTTCTGAGATGCTTAAGTTAGAAGGTATCACCTCTAAAAATGGCTGAGCTATTATGTCAAAAAGATTCCCCTCTCTGATTCTTCCACACTCACCTGAGAATGGGCTTCTTGTCATCTCACTTGTCATCTCCCAAGGCTCTCTCCCTTGCTCCAATAAGGAGATTACGTACGGCTTAGAAACACAAAGACCTGCATATAAAAAGATATGAAAATTGGCCATGTTTTGGGTTATTTCAGAACTAGAAATCAGTACCTTAATTCTGGTGGAATGCTACAGCAGGAATACTAGAGAAGAGATAAAGCACATTTGAAGGACAGACTACACAAAATTCTGGAATAGCCTAATGAGATTGCTAACAGTTAACTCTATGAACTCTTTATTAGGGGCTTGAGGGCAGAAATTTAGCCCGACATTTTCTGAATATTATCACCCAGTAGTAAATGAAGTATTTTAAAAGGTCCTTAGAAAACAGAGTTTGAAGTTCTGAGTTACTTGCCTGCTTTAAAAAAAAAAATCAATACTCTTCAGGAGAATATGACAGAATCCAGAGGCTCTACAGTGTTTTATTTATAGCATCCATAATAAAACTCAAAATTACTTGACATAAGAAAAGGAAAAAGTGAATCATGCCCATTAGAAAAAGCAAGCAATGGGACACTCACACTGCAATAACAAAGACATTGGAATTGGCACATGATTTTAAAACAGCTGTTATTATATAAATAATAATATGAAGGCAAATATACTTGTAATAAATGCACACACAGGAAATCTCAGAATAAAAACTCTAAGAAGAACCAAATAAATATTCTATAATTTAAAAAATATAACATCTGAAACTTAAACATTCACTAGAGTCAAGGAATTTGACTATAAATCAACAGCATTATCCAAACTGAGCTGGGCACGGTGGCTCACACCTGTAATCCCAGTACTCTGGGAGGCTGAGGTGGGTGGATCACCTGAGGTCGGAAGTTTGAGACCAACCTGGGCAACATCGTGAAACCCCATCTCTACGAAAAATACAAAAATTAGCTGGGTATGGTGGTGAGCACCTGTAATCACAGCTACCTGGGAGGCTAAGGCAAGAGAATTGCTTGGACCTGGGAGATGGTGAGCCAAGATTATGTCACTGCACTCCAGCCTGTGTGACAGAATGAGACTCTGTCTCAAAAAAAAAAAAAAAAAAAAAAAAAAAAGGAGGGGGGAGAAATTATCCCATCTGAGAAACAGAGAGCAAAGATTTAAAAAAGTGAAACAATCCTTAGTTACCCAGGGCACAATATCAAACAATCTAGCATGTGTGCAACTCAAGTCCCAAAACAGAAAAGAACAGAAATACTTTGAAGAAATAATGGCTAAAAATTTGGTTTAAGATATAAACTTCGTTTCAAGAAGCTCAATGAACCACAAGCATAATCAAAAGAAAAGGGCTTCTAGAGAACAAAAAGCTAATCTAGTCCATGAGGTAGCCCCAGTGCTTAGAAGAAAGGTCCATATAAATTTCCCTAAGAGTAAATGATCTGAAGCCATTTTCACAGTTTGTGTCTTCCTGGTTTACTTTTCACAAGTTAATACAAAGATACAGATTTTAAAAGTGACATTCTGAACTTGTAGTAATCTAGCTATATTCTTTGTGAATGCTGTTATTATCTAGCGGTGATAATAATTCTTCAGGAGAGAGACACCAAGGAAACCCAGGAGACTGGTGAGATTCATAATGCGTCCTATGTTTCCAACTGCCTTAAGGGTGTATGCATGGAATATCTCATATTCACAAAATTCACTAACTCTAAATCTCCAGTTTTCTTCAATCCCCTCAATACCCTCTGTTTCTCAGATTCCATTCCTAGATTCCATTCTGACCTACGTATAATAAAAGCAAATTTAATAATACATAAAAACATAAAAGTTCCTTAAAGGTAGACTATGAAGGAGGGAAAAGATCCTCACCAAGTGATACCAGGCTCTGATAGTTCTCCAACATCATACTCCTGTATAATCGCTTCTGAGCAGGGTTCATCCATTGCCATTCTTCCTGGGAAAAATCTATTGCTACATCCTTGAATGTCACCAAGTCCTGAAGTAACAAATATATTCTTAACCAACCAATGCTCATGTCCAACGATAACTCCGAGTTGATCCAAAACGTCTCTACTTCATGTGATAAATAACTCATAGAAGATAAAAAACACAAATATGAAGATACACCGGAAAATAGTACTTATTGAAGTATTTAACTGCATTGGGTACAATGGTGCTAATCCATTCTGAACACAGGGAAATATGGGTGCGTAACTACTTGGCAGTCAAAAGGGCTTCGAGGAAGAACACATATCTGTATTGAACCTTTAAGAGCATAAAAAGGGCTGGGCGTGGTAGCTCACACCTGTAATCTTAGCACTTTGGGAAGCCAAGGTGGGCAGATCATAAGGTCAGGAGTTCCAGACCAACCTAGCCAACATGGTAAAACCCCATCTCTACTAAAAATACAAAAAATTAGCTGGGCATGGTGGTGCATGCCTATAATCCCAGCTACTCGGGAGGCTGAGGCAGAAGAATTGCTTGAACCCAGGAGGCAGAAGTTGGGGTGAGCAGAGATCATGCCATTGCACTCCAGCCTGGGCGACAGAGCAAGACTCGTCTCAAAAAAAAAACAGCTTAAGAAGAATATCTAAATCGATATTTTTCAAATGATACTCCGTGCAATCCACATTTTATTGGCAGGGATAGGGGAAAGGTATTAAGCCGATGTGGCTGACTTTTTCCCCCACAAAACAATAAAAACACATTTAGAATGCACTTTTCTTATGTATGTATCAGTGAATACTGTGTTTTCCACCCATGGTTGGTTGTACTCACAGTTGCAGAACAAAATGAAATTGAAGTTATAACTTTTAAATGTTCTTAGATTAAAATTAATGACCAGTTATAACCAGTAGGTTGTAAGAAATTTTAAAAGTTATCGTGGGCATTTTTCACCTTCAGATTTTTTCCATTGAAAATGAGTATCTTCTTAACGTCAGTGCCTAATTTGTAAAGTTATCAAAAATATAACTAAATAGGGCCGGGCGCGGTGGCTCAAGCCTGTAATCCCAGCACTTTGGGAGGCCGAGGCGGGTGGATCACGAGGTTGAGAGATCGAGACCATCCTGGTCAACATGGTGAAACCCCGTCTCTACTAAAAATACAAAAAATTAGCTGGGCATGGTGGCACATGCCTGTAATCCCAGCTACGCAGGAGGCTGAGGCAGGAGAATTGCCTGAACCCAGGAGACGGAGGTTGCAGTGAGCCGAGATCGCGCCATTGCACTCCAGCCTGGGTAACAAGAGCGAAACTCTGCTTCAAAAAAAAAAAAAAAAAATATATAACTAAATAAAGACAAGGTTATGAGCACAATATTCTAATATGCTTTTAAACAGGAATCTCTGTATCCTGTCTTTGTTCTAAAGATTGGCATTTAAAAGCAAATTTTAAACGGATATTCAATGTATGGGACTTTAGAAGATATAAACACCTTTAGAAGAATGTTTGCTATTATTACATATAAAAGAATTACACAATTGTTTAAGCTTCTCTGTGAACTCATGGTTTTCCTAAATTCTAGTTTTCATCTAGTGAGTTGAGAACTAAGAACCACCATTTACATATTCTTATCAAATGAAATGAGATGAATTCCTCAATGCAAGCAAAAGCTGCTCACAATCTTTCCAATATTTAGGATAATTTTGGTGACTATTAAGGAAATAGGAGCTTTGGCTGTTCCCACAGAAAAAATTGATTGCTTTTGATTCTGGTGCTCATGTTTAATAATTTGGTATATATACTACCAGACTTACCAATATCTACAGAATAACTTTATATATATGCATACATGTATATCTAGTAATTTTTTTAACTGATAATGCTATGATGAATGAAGTAAATCCCAATGGATCTGAAGAGCTTGTAATCTTGTAATTCTTTTTTCTTTTTAAGAAAAAAAGCATTTATTACAAGGTATCAGAAAATTTATGAAATTTCCAGGAGTATTAAGACTAAATTAATTAAGACTAAATAAACGACTTAAATAAATAAATGAGGAAAATAGGCAAATATTCAGAAGATTTCTAAATGATTTATGTTTGCCCTTGCCAACAGTATAGTATGGAAAAGTGAGGGAAAAAGAGTAACCTTATTATAGAGAAATCTGACAAACACTCCCTCAAAGTTAATTAACACTGATTAACATTAACAGTAATAAACAGTAATAAACAGAGTGCACTCCTGATTTGATGTGATGAAAAAAGAACTTTACCTCTCTGCAATCTTCCTCCCCAAAATACATTACCCTAGTCTAATCATGAAAAAACATCAGATTTGAGACATTCTACAAAATATCTGAGTATTCCTCAATGCTGACAAGGTTATCAATAAGCAAAGTATAAAAAACTATCACAGCTAAGAGGAGTCTTAAGAAATGTGACTACTGGCCGGGCGCGGTGGCTCAAGCCTGTAATCCCAGCACTTTGGGAGGCCAAGGCGGGTGGATCACGAGGTCAAGAGATCGAGACCATCCTGGTCAACATGGTGAAACCCCATCTCTACTAAAAATACTAAAAATTAGCTGGGCATGGTGGCATGTGCCTGTAATCCCAGCTACTCAGGAGGCTGAGGTAGGAGAATTGCCTGAACCCAGGAGGCGGAGGTTGCGGTGAGGCGAGATCGCGCCATTGCACTCCAGCCTGGGTAACAAGAGCGAAACTCCGTCTCAAAAAAAAAAAAAAATATGACTACTAAATGTGGGGAGAAATGACAGATACAGGTGAGGGGAAGGAAGGCAGCAAACCACACTGCCATGTGTGTACCTATGCAACAATCTTGCATGTTCTTCACATGTACCCCAAAACCTAAAATGCAATAAAAATAAATAAATAAATAAAAAGAAAGAAATATGACTACTAAATGTAATGTAGTTTCCCAGATATGATCCTGGAACAGAAAAAGGACATTAGCTAAAACCTAAGAAAACCTGGCCAGGTGCAGTGGCTCACACTTACAATCCCAGCACTTTGGGAGGCCGAGGCCAGTGGATCACTTGAGACCAGTGAAATCACTTGAGGCCAAAAGCTTCAGACTAGCCTACACAGCATGGCAAGGACAACATGGCAAAACCCAAATGGGCTGTATGCAGTGGTGCATGTCTATAATCCCAGCTACTCAGGCGGCTGAGGCATGAGAATCACTTGAATTGGCGGAGCAGGTTATAGTGAACCATGATCCTGCTACTGCACTCCAGCCTGGGCGACAGAGTAAAACTCTGTCTCAAAAAAAATTAATTAATTAAATTAAATTAAAAAGTTAAGAAAAGGAAAGAAGATCTAAACTAAGCATGAACTTTAGTCACTAATAATGTATCAATATTGGTTCATTAATTTTAACAAATGTACCACACTAATGTAAGATGTTAATAGGGAAAGCTTCGTGTGATATAAAATTTCTCTACACCATCTCTACAATTTTTCCACAAACCTAAAACTATTCTAAAAAATAAAAATTTTAAGTAAACCTTCTCAAGAGGAAGACATCAAAGCTTCAAATTATTTTTTAAAAAAATATAAAGTCTAGCACTAAACCCAAAATGAGGCATTTAAGACAAAAATCAAGATAATTTTCAAAAAATCAGAAAATAGAAACACACAAGAGATCCAGATAATGGAATTATCCAACAAGGATATCAAAATATTATGAAAATATTTTTAAGGAGCTAAAATGGAAGAGTGAATTCAAGAAGAAAACAGAAAATTACATAAAATAATTAAATAGAAGTTCTAGACTATGTATTCAATAACAGAAGTTAAGAATTCCATTATGATCTTAACAGGAGATTAGAGTGTTAAAGAGAGAATTAAAGCATAAGTGGCATATAAATAACTGTGAAAAATAACATTTATATAATTGTAATCTTAGAAAAAGGAAAGTTTCAGAATATTTGAAAAGATAGTGGTTGAAAAATTTCCAAATTGATGAAAGACAGTAAGCTATCCTGAACACTGACTGAAAACAAAAATAATGAGAATGTTCAAAGTCTATCAAAAAAGTATGTATGTGAGCATTTCAAGTGGTGGGGTTAAAAATGCACTGTATGTTTATCAGCTATAGTGTTAGTAGGTTACTAGACAATTTCTAAAACTAAAATAATCAAGAAATAGTGTACAGAACATTATTCAGCAATATGAGGTTAAACATCAAAACCAAAGACAGTAAGTGGTATTGTGGAGATCCCAACTTCCTTCTATAGGGCATACTGTCGGGGGGGTAGGGGAAAAAATCCTGTTGTGTTAACTGGTGCTTGTGACTTCAGATAGAATTTTAATGACAACATCAGGCACATGAACTCTAAAAGGTCTTTATCTTTGGAAAATTATGTTAGATAATTCACAAAATGGTTTTAATGCTGAGAAAGACACAGATGCCCAGAATCCATGTAAATATTGTAAAATATCTGATGAACTCTGACAGTGGAAGAAAGAAAAGCAGTGTTTCAAAATTAATTTAACATAATTTTCAATATGAAACATATAATTAAATTAATTAAGCAATAATTATGGACATCTGACACTCATGCATGTCATGAAAACATATTTTCCACTTAGAAAAAATGTAAAGGGAATTTCACAACGGGAGAATTAAGGGTTCTTTTTGAATACATGGTTCCTTATACATGTGCAGTATGATGGTATTTAAAAATTAAAAGATTAAAAGCAGAAATTCAAGTAAAAAACGGAGTGTAGTACAGCAACAAAACCAAATATTCACAGGAATTTAGTGCATGATATAGGGGGCATTTCAAATTAGAATGAGATGAATAATTCAATTAATGACATTGTGCCAACTTGAAAAATAAATCTCTGCCTTACTTTTTATAAATTATACATTTAATGTAAAAATTTAACATAAAAATCTAATGTAAATTAAGTTTAACATAAAAATTCAACGTAATTTCAGCCCTGTCATGATAGAAAAACCACAAAAATCAAGTCTAAGCTTACCAGAAACTTAACTATGAAGGACAAAACGAATCTTAGAAGAAAAAGAGGACTTAAAGATAGACAAAAATTTCACCAACAGGACACAGAAAACCATTAACGTTGAAGGGAAGAAAGTATTTATGTATATACAAAGGCATAACATGGCTCTAAATGAAATAGAAGTTGAGAATAACTTCTTAAAAGAACTGGGAGGAAAGAGTGAAATTTGTTTTTGAATTTTGTATCATGTGAACATATCACCTATTTAAATTTATAAAATCTGCAAAAATTAAGTACAACAAGATTCTTCAAGTGAACAAATGAGTTTGGAAATTCATACTTAAAATGTAAAGAAAAAATTTTAAAGAATTTATCTTAAAGACATAATTAGAGATTTGGACAAAAAGTTAGCTAGAGGAATAATTCCTGATGTATTCTATGTATAGGAGAGGCACTGGATACACACTTAACCTGGAATCCAACTCACTAGTACTAAGATGTCCATATGTATATTCCATACAACATAAATCAAGTCTTTTCACAAGGGTCAACACTAAATTTAAAATGTACACAAGGTGGGAAGAGGAACCTCAGAAGGGCCTCCATGACTTTGTATACAGTTATTACTCAATAATTAGGTAATTAAAGACAGTGGCCCCTGAGACAAGTGGGAACTAGGCTCTTGGACTTTTAATCAGGGAATTTTCCATTACATATAAGTCCTAAACAGAAAGACTGCCTTTCATGAAGAGAAAGAAAATTTCAACTAACCTGGGATATGACTTTTAATACTTCAACATTCATTTTTGCCTTCTCTTCTGGTCTCTCTCTTGAAGAACAGTGTCTTGGGAGGGCAAGGCTGAAGGAAGGGAAAGCTTAGTGAGAGATGAAAGGTTGCTGCATTTCCAGAATCACTAGCCTAAAACTGTCTTCTTCTTCCCAGCCTTGGTTGGTCCATTTTCACATAACTGGGTATGAGCAACCTATGGCCACTGAAGAGCCATAACTTAAATAACTTTTTTTTCATGCTTGAGGTCCTAAATTTAATCTTTTTCCAAGAGCTGCCTTCCCATTCTTTGATCTCATTATGAATAAAAATAGATGTATTAAGTACTCTGCATGGATTATATTCTCTCACTTTATTTTGAAATAATCCTACAAAAGAGTTATTGCCTCTATTTCACAGGTAAAGGTGAAGTCATTCTCTTCTTGGGTCTCTGCCTCATGCTTTGAAAAGTCTACTGTTCGAAAATCTAACCCCTTTTTGAGCCAGATGGATGGGTTTTCGGGGGAAAAAAAAAAAGAAAAGAAAATATAAAATGTGACTCCCAAATGCCAACAGAGGCCAGGGTTATCCTCCGTCTTCACTCAACCCCCCATCGCCCTCCCGGAAATGTTTCACTTTCCTCACCCTGAAACAATGAATGGAACCTTTAGCACTCACTTCTGCCACTTTCACTCTCACCTCTGTCCCAGCCCCTTTATTTACACTCCTGTCACAAATAATTGAGGGTGTCTCTTGCTTCAGTTAGGAGCTTCAGTAACCCCAGCTTTTGTTTCTTACTGAAGCTCTTAGATTGGCGACAGGAATTCTATTCCACCATTCCTATCCTGGCAACACACAACTCCGAACAGCCACACTCATGAAGAATCCAATCCTATCAATCTTCCAAGTAGTCTCTCCATACACAGCAGTCATACAGGGCCACAATTACAGGTATACAGGGTGACATACAAACACTAACACAGGTTTCCTGGTCACACAGAGGACACAATCACAAGTACCCCAAAACAAGCACACAGAGTCATATTTCCATTGTCTGCGAACATGAATATAAGCACACATGGTGATTCACTAACACCTTCACACATAGCCCTAATCTTATTTCTCTCACACACATAGCTCGCTGTCCCTTATCTCTGTCTCACTCACACATGCAAGGTCCACAGCCTCACAGAGTTTATATTTGTAAAGCCTTGTGAGTAACACCATGGTTCACATAGTTTCTTTCTCACCCATTTTAGTCTCTGACACAACAACATCACTAGTCTTTCCCTCTTTCAAACACACAAACATGATGGTTTCTCATACATACACATTCACTGGTACCTTTCAGAGGCCTCAATTACTCACACACTCCAGTATGTCACACAGATACACAAACACACTCTGGCCTCTCACATTCCAACTACTTTATCAAACCACACATAATACCTAGTGGTCACTCTCACTCCAATCTTTTTCATGCTGTGATACATTCTCCCACAACCTCCCAGGCCAGACACAGAGACACACTCCAGTCTCTCACATACCCACTGGTCTCTCACACACTCACACCAACATATCTCAGTCTCTCACAATCACTGAACTCTGTCTAGTCCCTTGCTTTTACTCAGACACACACATGATCTTTCTCAGACTCCAGGGAGTCCCATTATTGTTAATCTTTTACACAGGCACATCTGTTTCTCTCAGACATTGATATACCCTGGTCTCGCACTCTGGATTCTCACAATCCAGTCCCTGATAACACACTCAGGTGACAAAGAGGAAAAACAAACTTTTCCCCTACTCTACTCTCCCAACACAAAACAGTTATAAGACCAGATGTGTGGGCGTCTTCAAACACACACACCAGGCAAGCAATAAATTCTTCAGTGAATATCAGTTGGGTGACCTCTTGGGTAACTCAATTCTGATACTATCTACCTGGAGATAGCATAAGATCCCAGAGGTTGAGGGCTCAGTCCTAGAAAATTGCTCCCCACTTCCAATGCCAATTGCAAGCCCCAGGTTGTTTTGCCTGTGCTTCTGACTGACTGGCTATAAATCAGGGTTCCTATGACCCCTTCCTTGCATTCAGTTAATTTGCTAGGGCAGCTAACAGAACTTAAGGAAACATGTTTGTAATGATAAAGGATATTACAAAGGAAGTGAAGAAATGCATAGGACAAGGTTATGTAGGGTAGGGCTCATCCTACAGGAACCTCCATTGTTAAGCTAACTGGAAGTGCGCTGAACCCAGTCCTTTTGGGTTTTTATGGACACTTCGTTCCTTAGGCATGACTGGTTAAATCACTGACCACTGATGATCAGTTTAACTTGTGGCTCCCTTTCCTCTCCCTGGAGATTGAGGATGGGGCTGATAATCCCAACCCTCTAATCTTGCGTAAGTCTTTCTGTTCACCAGCCCTTACCATGATCTACCTACAGGCTGCCAGCCTACCAATCATTAGCATACAAAAAGATACTTAATACTTTGGAGATTCCAAGGATATTAGAAGTTGTATGCCAAAAAACATAAATTTGACTCATACTTTGATCGCCTCCCTCTCTCTCACAAACTCACCGCAACAAACCGGTCTCACTCTTTGGACTCTCACAGTTTAGTCTCTTTCTCTGTCACACACACACCAGCCTCTCAAGGAGCCTCACATAACGACTGGTCTTTCACACACAAGCACATGCTCATCTCTCTCACACTCACTGGTCACACGCTCTGGTCTATTACACACACACACACAAACACACCTGGTCTCACACTCTGGTCTCTCACAGTCTGTCAGGCACACATACAAACCACTGCCTCACACACTGACAGGTCTTTCACCCAAAACACCCATTTCTCACACTCATCGGTCTCCCTTTCACAGGTCAGCACACAACAGTCCCACACTTCGGCCTCGCACAGTCTCCTTCTCTCTCTCTCTCACACACACACACCAGCCTCTCATGGAGCCTCACACACCAACCAACTGGTCTTTCACACACAGCCACATACCCATCTCTCTCACATTCACTGGTCTCTCACACTCTAGCCCGTGTCACTCTCACATGAATACATCCTGGTCTTGTGCTCTGGACACTCAGCGTTACACACTTACACACCCACACACCCCGTATCCTCTCAGAGCCTCACACACTCATCTTTCACACGCAGGCACACTCCCCTCTCACACTCACTGGTCTCTCACACCCTAGCCCGTGTCACTCTCACACAAATACAGCCTGGTCTCGTGCTCTGGACACTCAGCATTACACACTTACACACCCACACACCTCGTATCCTCTCAGAGCCTCACATACTCGTCACATGCAAGCACACTCCCCTCTCACACTCACTGGTCTCTCACTCTAGCCCGTGTCACTCTCACATGAATACATCCTGGTCTCATGCTCTGGACACTCAGCGTTACACACTCACACACCCACACACCCCGTATCCTCTCAGAGTCTCACACACTTGTCTTTCACACGCAGGCACACTCTCCTCTCTCACACTCCCTGGTCTCTCACACTCTAGCCCGTGTCACTCTCACACGAATACATCCCGGTCTCGTGCTCTGGACACTCAGTGTTACACACTCACACACCCAAACACCCCGTATCCTCTCAGAACCTCACACACTCGTCTTTCACACACAGGCACACTCCCCTCTCACACTCCCTGGTCTCTCACACTCTAGCCCGTGTCACTCTCACACGAATACATCCTGGTCTTGTGCTCTGGACACTCAGCGTTACACACACCCCGTATCCTCTCAGAGGCTCACACACTCGTCTTTCACACGCAGGCACACTCCCCTCTCTTACACTCACTGGTCTCTCACACTAGCCCGTGTCACTCTCACACGAATACATCCTGGTCTTGTGCTCTGGACACTCAGCATTACACACTCACACATCCACACACCCTGTATCCTCTCAGAGCCTCACACACTCATCTTTCACACGCAGGCACACTCCCCTCTCACACTCACTGGTCTCTCACACTCTAGCCCGTGTCACTCTCACATGAATACATCCCGGTCTCGTGCTCTGGACACTCAGTGTTACACACTTACACACCCACACACCCTGTATCCTCTGAGCCTCACACACTCGTCTTTCACATGCAGGCACACTCCCCTCTCACACTCATTGGTCTCTCTAGCCCGTGTCACTCTCACACGAATACATCCTGGTCTCATGCTCTGGACACTCAGTGTTACACACTCACACACCCACACACCCCGTATTCTCTGAGCCTCACGCACTCGTCTTTCACACGCAGGCACACTCCCCTCTCACACTCACTGGTCTCTCACACTCTAGCCTGTGTCACTCTCACATGAATACATGCTGGTCTCGTGCTCTGGACACTCAGTATTACACACTTACACACCCACACACCCCGTATCCTCTCAGAGCCTCACACACTCATCTTTCACACGCAGGCATACACCCATCTCTCTCACACTCACTGGTCTCTCTCACTCTAGCCCGTGTCACTCTCACACGAATACATCCTGGTCTCATGCTCTGGACACTCAGCGTTACACACTTACACACCCACACACCCCGTATTCTCTGAGCCTCATATACTCATCTTTCACACGCAGGCACACTCCCCTCTCACACTCACTGGTCTCTCTAGCCTGTGTCACTCTCACACGAATACATCCTCGTCTCATGCTCTGGACACTCAGTGTTACACACACACACCCACACATCCCGTATCCTCTCAGAGCCTCACACACTCATCTTTCACACGCAGGCATACGTCCATCTCTCTCACACTCGCTGGTCTCTCTCACTCTAGCCCATGTCACTCTCACACGAATACATCCCGGTCTCGTGCTCTGGACACTCAGCGTTACACACTCACACACCCACACACCCCGTATCCTCTCAGAGACTCACACACTCGTCTTTCACACGCAGGCACACTCCCCTCTCACACTCCCTGCTCTCTCACACTGACCCGTCTCGCACTGTCACACACGAACGCACCCTGGTCTCACACGCTGGACTCTCGGTCTGACACACACACACACACACACACCGCACCCGCTCACGGGGCCTCACACGCTGACCGGTCTTTCACACACAGGCACACCCCCATCTCTCCCACAGCTCACTCCAGTGGTCCCGCCGCCCCGAGTCGCCCCGAGCGCCCAGCAGCCCCGAGCCGCGGCCTCCGCCCCGCAGACACGAGTACGCGCGCCGCGCGGGCCTCTGGGAAATGTAGTCCTCAAGGGGAGAGGACGCTGCGGGGCCTTCGCGATCCGGGTCTGAGCCGCCCGCCTTGCCTGCCGCTCCAGGCCCTGTCCTCGAGCTCGGACTCCCAAACCACCCAAAACAAACCCCTGGCCTCGTCTGGCACGCAGAAGCTCTCATCCGAAGGACTTCGTGAGTCGACGCCGGAATCCCCATTGCGCAGGCGCCGGCCTTTCTCCAGGGGCCGGACGCGAGGGGCGGAGGCGAGGCGTGGCCTAGCACTGGGGGGCCTGTCCTCGGACGGCTGTGAGAGTGGGAGGGACCCTAGAGACAGAGCGGGCGTTTCTGCGCAGTGCGTGATTATGCGAGCCGGACTTGGCCCAGGGTTTTCCGCGGGTAAGAGCGGGAGTGTGCGCAGCCGCAAAGATTGCGCTCTCCCCTCTCCTCGCCTGGAGACCGACCAGAAGCGTCCCTAGTTACCGGTTCCCACGACCTCGGAGGGAAGCGCTCGGCGGCTGAGTCTTCGGTGTGAGCACGTGTGCGGCTTTGTGACGCTGTCTGTGCCCCTGTGACCGCGATGTCATTCGGAGTGCGGCCTTCTGTGCCTGTCTGTGGGAGTGTGATTATCTTTCTGTGTTAAGCTTTTTGGAATAAGAACAGCGACTCGGAACCCCGCCCGTGTTGTGACTCTGGCAAATTAATACCTCAGCTGCAAAATGAGAATGTCATCGTTGGTGCTCAGAGATGGTGAACAACATGACGTTTTTGGAGCCAGTCTGCTAGGATTAAACCGCGGTTCTTCAACTTAACAGAATGTTAAGTTCCCTGTTTCAGGGAACTATGAAAACTGTAGCACTAGTATTGGAAGGTGGGACAAACAAAAGAAAAGCAATTCAAGGGGATACAGCAGAGAAAAAAAAATCCCTGTCCTCTTATTATAGAATTTACTTTGAAGTGGAGAAAAACAAGCCACGAATGTGTAATTTAGATAGTCTGATGAACCGTAAAAAGGGCTATGGAGAAATATAACACAGAGAAGCTTGTATCGTATACATTTTTTTCTGTCGTCTCTCATAATGTCTTAACATCTCAAAAAACGCCTTTCTGCAGCAGATACCAGGAGCGGCCTCTACTCCAATTCAATTCTGAAGTTACCTGGAGATAGCATTAGATCCTACAGGTTACGCAGCTCAGTCCCACCAGATAGTACCCCACTTCTCATGCCAGTTTCAAACTCCAGATTATTTTACCTGTGTTTCTGACAGATGTGCTATAAATTGGGGCTCCCACAACCCGCTCCCTGGGTTCAATTAATTTGCTAGACCAGATCACAGAACTCGGGGAAATACTTATGTTTACTGGTGTATTGCGAAAGATATTTTAAAGGATATAAATAACCAGAGGAAGACACATCTAGGGCAAGGTCCGAGAGAAGCCCTTAGTGCAGGAGCTACCGTTGCCCGTGGAGTTGGGGTGGACCACCCTCCCAGCATGAGGATGTGTTTTTGTCTACCTTCTTGGAAGCCACTTGAGCTCAGCCCTTTTCAGTTTTTATGGAGGTTTCATTATGTAGATGTGATTGATTAAATCACTGGCCACTGGCAATCAATTTTCAGCCTCTCCCTTTTCCCAGAAGCAGAGAGTGGAGCTGTGAGTTCCAATCCTCTGAGCTTATGGCTGGTTCCTCTGGCAACTAGCCACCACTCCCCCTAAATATTGGGATTATCCTGAGAGTTTCCAAAAATCACCACATTAACATAAACTCATGTGTGGCTGAACTACTGTCTTTCAGTTTTATGGCTCTGCAGCTGTTCTGGAGCTTTTTCAGTAACCAGGAAAAAAATGCCAAATATTTTAACAAAAGATACTTTGCTGTACTCATTTAGGAAATTAAAAGGGCTGTAGGAACTGTGAGCCATGAACTGTACCTTTCTTTCTAACTCCACATTCCGTGATGTCACATTTGTAGATTGAAATCCCCCATAAGGGGAGTATTTACAGTATGGAAATACAGTCTACATTGCTCAAGGATGGGATACACTCTGGGAAATGGGTTCTTAAGCAATTTCCTAAGAACCTTGTTGTGCAAACATCATATAAATGTATTTGCACAAACCTAGATGGTGTAGCCTACTACGCAGGCTATCTTTGGCCTGTAAAACCCTATAGAACCAGGAAGAGCTGATGTTGCAGAGGAAGTCCCACTGCTCTCTGCTCGAGAATTCTCTCTTCCTCCAGAGAGTCTGGTCTTTTTTTAAATTTAGGCCTTCAGCTGCTTAGATGAGGTCCATCCACATTAAAGAGGGCAATGTATATTATGCCAATTCTGCTGATTTGAATGTTACTTTCATTCACAAATGCTCTCTCAGAAACACCCAGAATAATGTTTGACCAAACATCTGGCCCAGCCAAGTTCACACATAAAATGAAGCATCACATATTTTATTACACAATGGGGGTGCAAGTCCATCAGCATGAGTGTACCAAGTGCAGGCACACTGGAAAAGAATTCACTGAGGGGAGATAGCTGAGCTTATCAGGCAAATGAGATGAGGAATGGTATTTCTGGGCAAAGAGGACACCACACTCCAAAGAATAGACTCACAACACCGTGGCCTCATTGGAGTTTACAAAAGCAAGAAAAAAAGGGATGGGAGATTCTCCTGGAAGGATAAGGATCAATGTGAGAGGCCCTTGTGAGCCACATTCAGGGCTGTCAATCGTCTTCCATGGTTGATGGGGAGCCCCTGAAGTCTTCTGAATCAGGTATAGCCTTGATTAAATTTGCATCATCTTGGGGGCAGGATGGAGAATGAAAAGGCAGAAAAATGAGCCAGAGGGCTGGCTCGGGGTCACTGGCTCTACTTACTGGAATCTATCTAGCAAAGACTTTGGCATTTCTCCACATTCGATTCCACTCTACATCATCAAGTGCACAAAACAAAACCAATCTCATGGTCAATGTTTGCATGCAAGAAAATAAAAGATGACACTCTTTCTTTTTTTTTTTGAGACGGAGTTCCACTCTTGTTATGCAGGCTGGAGTGCAATGGCGCGATCTCGTCTCACCGCAACCTCCGTCTCCTGGGTTCAAGCAATTCTCCTGCCTCAGCCTCCCGAGTAGCTGGGACTACAGGCGCATGCCACCATGCTCAGCTAATTTTTCTATTTTTAGTAGAGACAGGGTTTCACCATGTTGACCAGGATGGTCTCAATCTCTTGACCTCGTGATCCACCCGCCTCGGCCTCCCAAAGTGCTGGGATTATAGGCGTGAGCCACCGCGCCCAGCAAGATGACACTTTCTAAAAAAGGTACAAAACTCAGCCACTAAACCTGCAGATTCTCCCTCAAGGAAGGTGATTCTGTTTGGCTTGCTAAGACGATCTTCTGAGGGAGGTATGATTCTTCTTTTGGCTTTTAAAAATTGTACTAAAATATACATAACATAAATGTACTGTTTTAACAATTTTTAAGTGTACGGGGAAATGGGAATTAAGTACACCAGATCATGCCATCCATATACAGACAATTTTTATCCGAATCAGAAGCTCTGTCCCCATTAAACAGTAACTGTCCATTCTCCCCACCCTAGCCCTTGGAAACCACCATTCCACTTTCTAAGGATTTGACTATTCAAAATGCCTCATGTAAGTGAAATCCTGCATTATTTGTCCTTTTGTGGTCTGGCTTCTTTCACTTAGCATCAGGTTTTCATGTTCATGTTGTAGCACGTGTATTACATTTCTTCTTTATGACTAAATAACATTCCATCATGGATATACCCCATTTTATTTATTCATTCATCAATTATGGACATTTGGGTCATTCCTACACTTTGGCTATGGTTTTTAAGGCTAGTATGAGCATTCATGCACAGGCTTTTGTGTGGACATCCCTTTTTACTTCTCTTTAGTAGCCTGGAGTGGAATTGTGGGGCCCTATGGTGGGAAGCTCCAAATTAAGTTCAGTGACTCAGGGACAGAAACAATAAACCTAAGCTCCTCTTATTTCTGCCTGCCATTCTAGGCTGTTGTTTTCTTATGTATGCTAAACTCTGTGTTTAACCTTGTGAGAGTCTGCCTGCCTGTTTGCCAAAGCAGTTGTCTAAAAAAGCAAAAGCAGTAACAAAAGAACAATCCTGACCAATTGGTACAGGTCACATTACTCTGAAGTCCGTATATCAGTAGGCAGGTATGAAAGTGGCTTGTGTATGCAAGTGGGTTGCTGTTATTTTCTTCTGAAGTTTCAGTTTAGGTCTAGCTTCAGTTCGCAGGGCTTTACGAAAGCAACCTTAGTTTTTGATGACTCCAAATTAGGAAAAATGAGGTAAAAAGGAGGAAAATTTGAAAACATTATATTGAAGACTTATAGCCAAGAAAAATTAGAATGGTCCAAATTGTAGAAGATAATACAAATTGAAAAACATTAGTCAAGACTAGAATCTAACAACAGGAGTACTACAGTTTCTGAAACATAATTTTTCTCTATCCATTTTCCCATTTTTACTAACAGCAAATCATAATAGGGCTGGTTTGCTTTATTATACTTGGCCTGATTATTTGTATAAAGTACAACAAGAATTTTTTTTTTTTTTGAGACAGAGTCTCGCTCTGTCACCCAGATGGGAGGGCAGCAGCACAATCCCGGCTCACTACAACCTCTGCCTCCCAGGGTGAAGTGATTCTCCTGCCTCAGCCTCCCAAGTAGCTGGGATTATAGGTGCGTACCACCAGGCCCCAGCTAATTTTTGTATTTTTAGTACAGACAGGTTTTCCCATGCTGGCCAAGCTGGTGTCAAACTCCAGACCTCATGATGCACCTGCCTCGGCTTCCCAAAGTGCTGGGATTACAGGCATGAGTCACCGTGCCTGGCCGAATAATTTTTTTTTTTTTAACATAGGATTTTTAATTGTCTTTGTTGGAACTTTGTTCCATAAAATAAATCAGAGATAAGACTTTTTAAAAAAGTTGAGCCCAGCCATAAATTGGTATCATCAAATATTTATGAGTTGGGTAAATTCCTCTCCTCTTGAGGTTCCAAGGTAAACTTGGGGCCTGTCAGAAGGCGACATTCCTTACTTACCACAGGTCAGGACCCCTGTACAAGAACTGTAGACTAAGGTATGCAGTCAGTTTTTCCAAGGGGCTTTTATTGGCTCCAGAGGTCAAGTTTGATTTCTTAAAAAAAAGCAAACCATTACAGTCAAAGCCTTGGTAAAATAA